ATTTATAGAATATGATTTAAAATTATAACTATTAATGTTGTCTAGCAGGAAAAAAATACATATAAATACAATTTCATAGATTTCAAACCTGTGAACATCAAACTATATCACTGAAACATTCGTCATCATAATTTCACAATAAACTATTAATTAAAATAGATGAAGAAAAAAATCAAAAGAAACAAAGAGATGAATAGAAATAGTAATGCATTCTACACTTAAGACAACTAAATACAAAATATTTAAACTAGGAATCAACCCATTAACAACTTTCATGTAATGATCATTTAATACTTTTAAACATGAATTTTATTAGCTACCAAGAATTTCTAAATTTAGTTTGACGTCAGGATATCTTACGTATTACTTATAGCACACCTGCAGAAAATCGGTCTCCGCCAGTCACGTGACATTTGTTGCTAAGACGCCATTTTTGGTGGAAAAGGCGTAGTGTAAACAACCGCAGCATAGCTAAACGAAGGACTAAAGGATTGAGTTTGTTTCTCTGACTACAGGTGCTGGTCATAAAATTAGAATATCATGAAAAAGTAGATTGATTTCAGTAATTCCATTTAAAAAGTGAAACTTGTATATTATATTCATACATTACATACAAACTCATATATTTCAGATGTTTATTTTGTTTAATTTTGATGATTACAAATGACAACAAATGAAAATCTCAAATTCATCATATCAGAAAATTAGAATATTACTGAAGACCAATAAAAACAAAGGATTTATAGAAATGTTGGCCAACTGAAAAGTATGAACATGAAAAGTATGAGCATGTACAGCACTCAGTATTTAGTTGGGCCTCCTTTGGCCTGTATTACTGCAGCAATGCGGCGTGGCATGGAGTCGATCAGTCTGTGGCACTGCTCAGGTGTTATGATAGCCCAGGTTGCTCTAATAGTGGCTTTTAGCTCTTCTGAATTGTTGGGTCTGGTGTATTGCATCTTCTTCTTCACAATACCCCATAGATTTTCTATGGGGTTAAGGTCAGGAGAGTTTGCTGGCCAATTAAGAACAGGGATACCATGGTCCTTCAACCAGGTACTGGTAGCTTTGGCACTGTGTGCAGGTGCCAAGTCCTGTTGGAAAATGAAATCTGCATCTCCAAAAAGTTGGTCAGCTGCAGGAAGCATGAAGTGCTCTAAAACTTCCTGGTATGTGGCTGCGTTGACCCTGGACCTCAGAAAACACAATGGACCAACACCAGCAGATGACATGGCACCCCAAACCATCACTGACTGTGGAAACTTTACACTGGACTTCAAGCAACGTGGATGAAGTGCCTCTCTTCTTTTCCTCCAGACTCTGGGACCTTGATTTCCAAAGGAAATGCAAAATTTACTTTCATCAGAGAACATGACTTTGGACCACTCACCAGCAGTCCAGTCCTGTTTCTCTTTAGCCCAGGCAAGACGCTTCTGACGCTGTCTGTGGTTCAAGAGTGGCTTGACACAAGGAATGCGACAGCAGAAACCCATGTCTTTCATACGTCTGTGTGTGGTGGTTCTTGAAGCACTCACTCCAGCTGCAGTCCACTCTTTGTGAATCTCCCCCACATTTTTGAATGGGTTTTGTTTCACAATCCTCTCCAGGGTGCGGTTATCTCTCTTGCTTGTACACTTTTTTCGACCACATCTTTTCCTTCCCTTCGCCTCTCTATTAATGTGCTTGGACACTGAGCTCTGTGAACAGCCAGCCTCTTTAGCGATGACCTTTTGTGTCTTGCCCTCCTTGTGCAAGGTGTCGATGGTCGTCTTTTGGACAACTGTCAAGTCAGCAGTCTTCCCCATGATTGTGTAGCCTATAGAACTAGACTGAAAGACCATTTAAAGGCTTTTGCAGGTGATTTGAGTTAATTAGCTGATTAGAGTGTGGCACCAGGGGCCATCAATTTTGAACCTTTTCACAATATTCTAATTTTCTGATATGATGAATTTGAGATTTTCATTTGTTGTCATTTGTAATCATCAAAATTAAACAAAATAAACATCTGAAATATATGAGTTTGTATGTAATGTATGAATATAATATACAAGTTTCACTTTTTAAATGGAATTACTGAAATCAATCTACTTTTTCATGATATTCTAATTTTATGACCAGCACCTGTATATGGAAAAAAGTAAGCAGAATGCAAAATTACCGTACCGGTGTCGTGCCAAGGTAGTTATCCCTGCGAAAATTTGTATCCCCTCGTCGGGAGCGCGTACGGAGTAGGAAGAACAACCCGAGTTAACTCCGCCTAAATTCCAACGTGCAGAACTTAAAATTTGAAAAGTTTTACATGTATGAAAGTTGAGCTTTACTGTTTTATTCTTTACTTCACGTGTTGTAGCAGAATATCGCCAGTGATATTGATTTAAAACTGATTATAAAACACAAACGTTTGCTTGAAAGCTGGTCGCTGACAGCAGTGTCTACTCCTCCCTCTGAAAGCAAACAGATCCCTGTTCATTAAAAAAATCTCTCATTGTTTCACAGTGTCCAAATGTTCTCATCCCATTGAAAACTGTTGTAAACCATATACTTGTAATAAAAATGAAATAGAAAATGGAGTGCACGTGTAATCATTAAAGACTATATGCAGAAGGAAAATAATTTTTTCCTGGTTGAAATTTAGTACTTAAATCTATATTTGTGTTTATAGTAACGTACAATTTATCTATGTTGTACTATTCTTAATAAACAGTTTGTCTTCTAACATCAGCCGTTTTATTTCATCCCATTTTGCCAGAAATGGCAATATGGGATGAAATAAAACCTGCTGTAATCTGTTCCCCCTGTCTAAATCAGGCAAAAAGGGTCCCAGCTTTTTCATTTTTGGCTTATAAGCATCTTTTATGATGACAATTTATTCCTGAAACTTTGGATGTGATGGACCTTTATTTCTTAAAGTTATAAGGGGGGAACAAATTATAGCAGGCCACCTGCTATAATCTGTTCCCCCCTGTCTAAATCAGGTAAAAAAGGTCTCAGCTTTTTCATTTTTTGCATCATAAAAGATGCTTATAAGCCAAAAATGAAAAAGCTGGGGCCTTTTTTGCCTGATTTAGACAGGGGGGAACAGATTATAGCAGGTGGCCTGCTATAATTTGTTCCCCCCTTGTAACTTTAAGAAATAAAGGTCCATCACATCCAAAGTTTCGGGAATAAATTGTCATCATAAAAGATGTTTAAAAGCCAAAAATGAAAAAGCTGGGGCCTTTTTTGCCTGATTTAGACAGGGGGAACAGATTACAGCAGGTTTTATTTCATCCCATATTGCCAGTTCTGGCAAAATGGGATGAAATAAAATGGCTGATGTTAGAAGGCAAACTGTTTATTAAGGATAGTACAACATAGATAAATTGTACGTTACTATAAACACAGATATAGATTTAAGTACTAAATTTCAACCAGGAAAAAATTATTTTCCTTCTGCATATAGTCTTTAATGATTACACGTGCACTCCATTTTCTATTTCATTTTTATTACAAGTATATGGTTTACAACAGTTTTCAATGGGATGAGAACATTTGGACACTGTGAAACAATGAGAGATTTTTTAATGAACGTGTGGAAAAGAACAAGGATCTGTTTGCTTTCAGAGGGATGAGTAGACACTGCTGTCAGCGACCAGCTTTCAAGCAAACGTTTGTGTTTTATTATCAGTTTTAGATCAATATCACTGGCGATATTCTGCTATAACATGTGAAGTAAAGAATAAAACAGTAAAGCTCAACTTTCAGACACGTAAAACCTTTCAAGTTTCAAGTTCTGCACGTTGGAATTGAAGCTGAGTTAACTCGGGTTGATCTTCCTACTCCGTGCGCGGCTCCCGACGAGGGGATACAAATTTTCGCAGGGATAACTGCCTTGGCACGACACCGGGACTGGCAGCCTCTCACACAAAACGATCGTGTCATTTCTGGTAAATAATTGTGCCGAAAGAACAGCCGCGTGTGGGTTATCTCGACTTTCCACCTATTAAGGTGGTTTTCCAACGATGCACCGCGCCCGAGGTAAACATTGACGTCACCTGGCACAGACCGATAATACTATATATGCAGCTCTATAGCAAGTCATACTATGTCACTATTTTATCATTAAACATTATTGGGGAGTGCACCGTTCCTGGAAGTACTGCAATAACAGGTCGATGCGTGGAGTGGACGGAGCAAGCCCCTATTCCATCTCCCTGTTCCAAAAATCAATTTAATATATGGTCCCCGGGTAGGGGACGTATCAGATATTAAACTGATAAGAACAGATACTACACTTGATCTTAGCCAAAAGGCCGAGAAGCGATAACCTGAAATGGGGCTGAGGAGACCATGTCATTCTGCTACACCTCATTTTAACTCACGGTTAACAATCTTTAGCCTTTAGACGCTCAGCTACGATAGAAAATACTGATTACAGAGCAATAAACTTGTTTTACAACGAAAATTCCAAAGATAAAGGAGTAAAACCAAGAACTAAAAACAAGCCGGTCTGTTTATTTCCGGTCACGCGATGCGCTCTCCTCCAATAGGACTTTAAAAGGATTAAACACACTAAAGGAGCTTTCCTAATATTTATGTTTAGATGTCAACGTAACGGCTAGACCTTAGTGAACGAACCTTTGCATTTTCATTCGATTATATTTAATAGAAATGTACGATTGGAATCCACAACGGAGTTGGTACAACTGCAGCCTACAGCGGCCTCTGGTGGAGAACAAGGGACACTGCGAGCGTCTAAGTTTCACACAATCAGCATCGAAATTTACAAGTTAATTTACAAGGCGGTAATCTCTGCGGGGTTATTTGTTCTTAGTAGACTGCTAACAAGATAAAGAATTAATAGAAATATGGTTAGAATCATTTAAAGTTGTTCTGTAGAAACCGAAGTTCAGCACACTACCCCACAGCGAGAGACTGCAAGCTCAATTCGTGGCAGTGGCTGCGTTGCAGCAGTTCCGGTAACAGTTCTGCCACCGGAACTGCTGCAACGCAGCCACTGCCACGAATTGAGCTCGGCCTGCTGGAGAGCGGCCCATAGCTACCAACTACTGCAACCTTCCCACGCCCCGACCAGAGACAGGTTTCTAAACTGGCTATTCTCCCAACAGTTAACCTAAATTAGTCCAAAACATGAACAAAACAAGCAGTGTTAAATAAAAACATTAACCCATTTAAACTGAAAATCTAAAAATACAGAGAATATGATAACGTTATATATTGGTGAGTTAGCTTAACTGACAGTTAAAGTTATCTTTTAATTCTAGCTATTAATATGGTCAAAGGTGTAACAACTATAGTTAAATCAACCTTGATTACAAAGATAAGATAAATATCAAATAAAACTCACAACTTCGTCGAGTTATCCTCCTCCAGCATGGCTCGTTTAAAACTTGGTGAGCTAACGGCTCTCCTTTCCTCCTGCGTGTCCTCAGACACTTGACCTTCTTCTTTTTGTGCTGAAGAAGAGTCAGTCATTCCGTAAAAGTTCAAAAAAATTCCAGCACTGGACTTGGTTTCCAAGATTTGAAGATGTGTCGCTACCTCTCCAGAAAGCTTTCTCAATTCAAATGTCTGGATCCGCAGTGAGTTTGAGGCTTCTTTTTTGTCTTGTCTTGTTGCGTTTAATGGCGGTTGGCAAACAACTTTTTGGTGCATTACCGCCACCTACTGGTGAGGAGTGAGGATCGGAGCGGCCCTATTCATAAAAATATTTTTATTTATCTATATATCCCTATCCATAACATTACTTATATATATTATTACTATAAATATACTAAATCATCCTGATAATTCCAGTTAATATTAAATATTAAAATAAATATTGATAACATTTTTTGACCTTTTCTGCAGAACATCTATGGAATGTAATTTTCTTTCTCCTTATTTAGGTCTCTAACCAAATTCTTTCGTTCTTCTTCATACTTCTTACAATACATCACTACATGTTCTGCTGTTTCGTCCACAAAATCCACATTTTCCTGACATGTTTCCCTATTTTGAATAATGTATTATTTAATTCTTTATGCCCAAACATAAGTCTTGAAATAACTGTTTCCTCTCTTCTGCTTCCTCCTGCTCTCCTCATTTCTCCTATAAAACCATCTTCCTCTCCTCTCTTCTTCCCATTGTTTTTGCCACCTTACCTTCATCCTTTGTTTAATGATACTTAAGTTAATCATCATATCAATGGTTTTATTTTGTGATACTTCCTTAGCAATCTTGTCTACAATTTCATTTCCTTTAATCTCTTTATGTGCTGGCACCCAAATAAATATAACACTAATTCCCATCATTTGAACTTGATATAAAACTTGCTGTATTTCAAAATGTCTGATTTACTTTAAGAACAATGATTTGTATACTAATTAAAGCTGCTGTACTCGGATCTTAATGGTCTTACTTCCTCTATCCATTGTAATGCTAATAATATTGTTAATAATTCTCCTGTATAAACTAATAATTTATTATTTATTCTCCTATTTACTTTGATATTGAAATCTGGAACATAAAATGCAATATATTGCCTATTACTCACACTTTTAGATGCATCTGTATATATTTTAATATAACCATAATAACTATTAACATATTCCTGTATCAGTTTATGATAAATATTGCCTTCCTTTTTCTTTTCTAACCATGTCAAATCCACTGTAGACTAAGATTATGATGAAAACAACATCCTGCCCAGATTTCAACTTGGTGTCGAGGAAATTCTGTAGATTAATTTGTCATATTTTTTAGAGGGAAAGCCGGTTGAACATGGAAGCAGTGTTCTAGCAGTCGCATCACATTGGAACAGAGTCCATCCTCACGTGTTTGTAGGTATGTTGGTTGTTGTTTGACTAGAGAAGCATCACATGCAGACAGACTCTGAGGACACTTTGCTTTCATTGATGAAGGAGCTGAAGAAGAGGATGGAGCACACAGACCGACAAGGAGGAGAGACATGGCTCCTCTATTTCTCCTTCCAACGTTCTGGAGTAAAAAAACATTGACGACCCCACAGCTAAACCATCAGTCTGCTACACCCAGTAGAAGAAGGTAATGAACCTTTATTGCTTCCAGATTTTCATCAGTATTGGTGAAGATAGTAAAAGCAGATCCAGAACAAACAGATACAAACGCTACAACCATCCCATCAAGGTGGTCTAACCTTTAATCTTCATCTTTCCATCATGAATGGATGTTCACCTCTATTTGTATCTCTGTAACCAAACCTTTACCAGAACCAGAAGTTCTGACTTTTCCATTAGACCACAGATAAACAGTTAAGAAGCAGCTTCTGATCCAGTATGGGAGAATTTGCCCCTGGTTGATCTCTGAAGGGTTTTTAGAACTTATTAAAGCAACAAATGCAGCATTTTCAGGCATTTCCTCCAAGCATCCATTGTTTACAGTTATCACTTCTATTAACTTTAGCTTCTCCCTGTGTGTTTCCCTTTTCTATTGGTTAAAGTTTTACCTCTCCCAGTGTTTATGTGTTTAAATGTCCCAGACTAGCGTGTTGTTCACTAACTCCTGTTCTTCTTTTCCAGATGAGGTCATCTGCTCCTTGGACCGGCGCCTCTGTGTCTGTTGGACGTCTTCTGTCCTGATAAAGACCCGCTCAGCTGCAGTAGATGGGCACTGACATGGAGCTGCTGGAGGTTCCTTCCTGTTTGAAGCTAGTTTTCCTCTCTACTGTCACCACTTCATTGCTCAGGAGGGACTGCTGCAAAATTAACGACTGGATGTGATTGGCTGAGCTTCCTTGGATTGAAGACGTTTCTCTGAATGCCATGATAAACTCAATTTATCTTCACCATGTTGTAAATAGGATCTAATTGGATGTTTGTGTTTACAGTAGATGTGATTCTGTGTTTGTGTTGACTTCTGTTACATGTTCCCGTATTAAAATCGTCACGTTCATTGCCTTTAGATGACATTTGCTGGGACTTGTTTCTATTTTAAGACTGATTTATATTAAATCCCCTCACTGGGTCTGGTTCTGTTGAAGTATGCTTCCTGTCGTTCTATCTTCACCTGTTATTTCTCACTATAATAAAGGTTTGATTGCAGTAATGTGAACAGGATCTGTTTGTATTTTCTGGTAAAGTATCTTGAAATAAGTTTTTGTAAATTGGTTCTTTATAAATAAACCAAACTGAAGTCAACTGGAGCAAGAGTCCTAATATTACTATAGTCCAGCGCTTTGGCAGATTGGTGGTTATTATTGTTTCTCTGTTGGGGGGTCTGATCTGACAGCTCATGTTAACAGAATAATTGTTCTTGTCACCTTGCAGTGTCAAAACAAATTAGCTCTAAAAAAGGACAGTGAGACGTTCCTCCTGCAGTTCTTCTCATTTTATTGACCTTATAGACAATCTGGGAGTTTAACAGCAGAGCAGAAGGGACACATCAACACTGAGGCACACAAAGAACAACAAACAAATATGGGAGAATAAATAAAGATGAATGTTAAAATAAAACAGTAAAAAATATAATCAACTAGGAAGATGGCAAGAATTAAATGTTTAGTGAACCCAAAGGCAAACGGCTTTGGTTAATTTGAATAAAACTTGGTTCCAAGGTGCTTTTTTCTTCTTTTAATTAAACATTTATATCTCTACCATACTTGGTCCCTCGGGGTTGCATTGCTTGCTGCTTTTAACAGAAACCAAGTAGTTAATGTTTCCGGCTCTATATTCTATCAGAGGAAATGAGGGAAATGGATTTAAATGGATTAATGATCCTAAACACATTTAAACTGGTTTTAGAAAAGATAAAGCAGCTTTAAATGAACATCTAGAACCTCGGCCTTTGTCATGTCTGGATGACCATGTTTAAGGCTACGTTCTCACTGCAGGCATTAATGCGCTGTTCGATTTTTTTTTTTTTTTTTTTTAGGAAATCTGATTGTTTCACGTGGTTGATCACATTTCCAAATATGTAATCTCCTTTGTGAACTGAATTAATTCAACTTAAGGAGCGTGTTCTGTGTTTACGGAAGTAAACATGGAAGGTAGTGCTGGAGCGCATTTGCAATCTTTCATTTCTTTCCCAGCCTCAGCCAGTGCAGTAACAACACAATCTTTTCAAGATGGTTGAAAATAAAGAATGCTCTCCGCATTATCGTCCGCCATGGTTGTTTTTCCTGCTGCTGCTACGTAGCAAGATGCAGAATAGTGACTTTAGTCGAGTATTAATGGCATACAGATCAGTTGAATGGGTAAGATTTGACTAAGTATCAATACTTTTACTCAAGTACTCCTGTTGAGTATTACATCCAACACTGCATGTATGTAATGACAACTTTGCTTACCAACTTCAAACTCTTGAAGTTAGTAGGAAGAAGAGTACAGCATCAAAAGGCGGGATTTCCTGAAAATTAGTCATTCACAGCCGGGTTGCTTTGTCCGGTGGGTAACGCCTTCAAAGCAACAAGAGTTGACCCGAGCAGATACATACATCAACAGTTATTTAATAGGATGTTTTCAAAATATGGTTATTAACAACTGGTTAAAAAAAAAGGTTAACCTGGTCAAATATAACCTCAGCAAAAAGCTTATCAGGGTGAACTGTTTAATGGGTGAAATAGGGCTTAGGGAAATAAATAAAATCAATGGGTGTCAACGGAAAAAGCTGCTGTTTGGTGATGAGTTTGAAACAATGGAGAAATAAAAACAAACAAGTCATGTGTTTCAATGCTGACGTACGGAAGCTGAGAGCGGTCATACCCAACTTTTTTTTTGTCCTTTCTCGAGATAACGAGAAAACATTTTTTTTATTTCTTCTCTTTAACGAGACTATTAACCTGCATGAGTAATAAATGAGGCGGGCCAACAGCCCTGGATTCCCAGTCCATCCATGCCTGCTGTGCCAGTGGTTATGCAGTCGTGGTACCATGTGTGCGCAAATATTTTTTTTTCCTATTTCCTTTCACTCCTTGTCAGGTCGTGGTGGATGATTGGATTGCATGGAATGCAGTAGAAACAAATATGACTGTTTTTCAATGAAAATCTTTCATCTGGACTTATTTTGGGGGTTAATGCATCTTATACCTGTTACAGGTGTAACACCGGGGCTGTTCAGAAAACATCCGGCGCTCAGCCAGTGGAGGCATAGGTCTAATTGCTAATGAATCAGAAGTGGAAGCAAATCATCAAACCATCAACGTCGTCTCTTTACCTAAAAGTTAAACACAGGATTATTTACAGAATTACACATAGGCTGCTATGACTTATAAATCCTCTCCTGCTGTTGTGGTGTTGAATAATGCAACCAGTTTTAACACACACCAATCATCTAGGCTTTGGTTATCTTTATATAATGAGAAAATTAACTTGTTTTCTCGAGAAAACCACTGTGAAAAAGATAATATCATTATCGTCATCTTTACTGTAACATTACCTCTGTCTTTGTTACGGAACGTTTATACAATATAATGAGAATAAATCTATTTTTTCAAGTGACAGCAATACGCTGCAGGTAAAAGACGTCAGGCTTGTTTTTTTTTTTTATTAAGGTATAGGTACTGGCGGGGCGCCCCCTGGTGGTTTGCGCCCTTAGCATTTGCCTATATAGCCTAAGCCACATGCCGGCCCTGTTTACCCTCATTTGCCAGTTGGCTGAGTGTTCACAGTAATTTATATGACAGTCTGAATATTATTTAATCAAATCAATTATCTGCCATCTCTCCAGGAAAGGGCATTAAATGAATAATTATTCATCATATATAATTATTGGATCACATCTCAGTTGTGTTTATGATCACAGCTCTATTTCATTTTTCTAGACAGAATAATCAATATACCGGTGCTGTCCAAGCTTACCTCCATCATGGACAACACCTTCCACCCTCTGCACCAGTCTGTAGAGGAGCTGAGCTGCTCCTTCAAGACTTTTACACCCCGTTTGCAAAAAGGAGCGCTACTGCAGGTCATTCATCCCTGCTGCAACCACACTATACAATGTGATACTTCAACAGCAATAACTTGTGCAATGTATAATGTGCAATTACTACTTGATTTCCTGTGCAATAACCTGTTTCACTATATTTGACACTCAGTGCAATTACCATACATATAAATATAAATATCACTCTATATTAATACCCTCTATAATAACCCTACTATTAAAAAACAAAAAACTCCCCCCAAAAAAGCTTTCATATGTGGACGCACTGTATGTACTGTATATTTCCCATGCACCTTTTCCTTCCTTTGGCACATTCTTCTCCTTTGAATATTTGAGCTGATGTAACTAGTAAATTTCTCCACTGTGAGATCAATAAAGTAAATCAATCAATCAAATATGTTTTCTTTGGAAAAAGCTGAAAAATTCCAGTTTAAAACAGCTTCCTGATCAAAGCTCCAGTTTAACTGGAGCTAAAAGATCATCTGAAACGTTAATGATCCCTGAGAGAGTTTCAGTTTCGCACTCAAGCAGCAACTGATCTGATTCCTAAGATGGAGGTCAAAGGTCAGAGCATGGATCTCTATTTATTTACTTGATTGCTGGTGGCTTGAAAAAAGTGAATCCACCGGCCGGCATGTTGGTACTCCCCACTCCCACAGAGATGCACAATAAAAATGCCTTCATGTTCTTTTACATTTGAGTGCAAAAAAAGGCAGTTTGCCCGCTGTAGGAAGACGTTTCCCAGGTAATTTAACATTCAGTGGATGTGCTAATCATAACACTGTATTCTAGAATAAGTGCACACATTTTAGTTTACACTGTTATGTTCTGCTTGATTTAATCTTTGTTTTTTTTGAGCCACCTTAGTGCTGGCTGCTCCAGTCCTTCAGGAGAACAGAGGTGGAGAAGGGGTGGAGCCAGCCCATTGAAGCTGCAAATTGGTTTACACCACTTCTCATCAGCAAGAGGGGGGGAATGGGATTTTCCTCTGTTAATTTCAGTTAGGTTTTTGTGTGTTTCCCCCTTTGTATCTTCTATGTGGCCTGATCAGCCAGTATTTAAGTTTTCCCTTTGTCTCATGTAGCAGGTCTGTTTGTTTCAGTAGGTCTTTTGTTAGCCTGAGTTAAATTCTGTTACTTTGACCTCTTTTATGGGCCCAACTTTGTGATTTGTTTTTTGTTGACCCAAGTTCTTTGTTTTGGGTTCAATAAAAAGAAGACTGTTTGGATCTAAACCTGTGCCTGATCTTCCTTTGACTGCTCAGACCATCACATGATTGAATAATATCTTTTGCATCCAGAAATGTATTTTTTGCTTACAAACATTTAATTAAGGATATTTGTAGGTACAATTCTATAAAAATGTAGATTTGACCAGGAAGAATCTTATTTTAGAGTTCAACAAATGGAACAAAAGAGAAGGTATGGAAGCCCATTTCCGCCTCGTGAAAGTAAAAAAATAATAAATAGAAAGTCATAATTATGAGATTCAAAGTGATTATTATAAGAATCAAAGTAATAATTTTCGACTTTCAAAGTCATAATTATTAGTTTCAAAGTCAAAATTATGAGATAGAAAGTCATAGTTATTAGTTGCAAAGTTGAATTTTATGATTATGAGTTAGTTTGTATCTCATAATTATCACTTTCTATGTGTCTTTTTTTTTTTTTTGGCGGAAACGGGCTTCCATAGATCCTGCATACATGAATCTCTCCATTATACCCGATCCTTTCCAAACTCGCATACTTTTCTCCTAACTTCACTAGTGTCGTGTGGGCTGCTGTTCCGCTGCAGAAAATGTGTTATTGCTGTTTTTTTTCCCTCGTCTTCAGTGAAAGACACATCTACTTATTTACACAGTAGATCAGGTCAGTCTGTTTTCCTTTATTGTTGGTCAGTTTTTAATCTGTTAGTTTCTCCTGTTTAGGGTGTGGAGGATGAATGTTTGTGAATGCTTTGGTAACTAGTGTTATTAACAAACTGTAACTTGTTATAATAGTAAAACTCTGAGCTGCAGAGATTACAAGAGAGGATTTATTGAATTTAGGATAAAAACTGATTGTCTTTGTTCTGACAAACATCTGGAGAAACAGTTTGAGACTCAGAAACAAAGATGGAAACTTAATTTAAAGCAGTTATTGAGATTATCTGCAAACATGACCCAGATGTTCAGAGGGGATTTAGAACCTGGACTTTAAACTCCTCTGAGGTAACGGTCTAGTTGTGAGAACCTCGTCCACGGACAGGATCGGAGTTATTGGCTTCAACAGGAGGAGACGCCCACTCTGGTTACTATGGTTACCGCAGTGGTTAGGTTGGAAACTGAGGTGGTGGCATTCATCACTTTGCAAGTGGCAACAAAACTGTTTTACCTTTAGTTAGGGTGACCAGACCTCCAGAGACTGCAGTTGCTCAGGGGCCCCCAACCTCTTAGGGGCCCCGTCACTGACACCTGGTTGGCCCCCTACGCAATTGTGGACTAGGACGTCCCTTTGCAAATGTGATGGTAGCAAAAATTTGTCTTAAAAACACCTGATTGGACACTGACTGATCTTATATTTATATTTATACCGCATATTTATATTTATACCGCAACACATGGCAGATTTCAACAGGATGGTGAGCCGTTTAAACATGACACCAATAGCAAAGCAGACAGTGGTACTTTTAATTACTATGTTAATAACTGTGTATAGTTCATTACACAGTTGGAAAAAAATACACTCCTATTCCTATAATATGTTTCAAACCAAAGTAATGATTTTAAAAGAACAATGTATTGGAGTATTTAATTTTTTACACTACGGCTTGGAATTATGGATAATCCGGAGTGTTGATTAAAACCATAACTGTTACGTACAATGTGTTAGCAACGATGGAAAACAAAAAGAGGTAATTAAACTGGAACGCCATTTTTTTTTACATTGGGCTCTTTGATTTTACGTTATTACATCATGTTCTAATCACCCATATGAGTTTTGTGTCGGTTGGAGCCGTTCTGAAGATATTCCGTTAGGTTATATCCAAGTAACGTCTTCCTATGGGCAACGACTTGAAGGCACAAACTGAACTGTTCATAATTTGTTCTTTATGTTACGCCAGCATTCATAATATGTAGGCGAAACACTGTCCACCAGACATCCGCGGTTATATTTTTTATATTTACATTTTTTGTGTGTATGATGTCATGTTATTGCATGTTGCATATCCCAGTAAATTTGTTTCCCCTTTAAATCTGCAGCTCTCCCTACTCTCTCTGTTTAAAAAGATTAATGAAACTATTCACTAATATAATGCTGCCAGAAACAACATTTCTAGATCTGTAGAAGCTCTGCAGTCTGTCTGTTCAATGAGAAAACATGATAATTTTAACCTGTAACTGGGAGTCATGGTCCTCTGAGAAGCAAAGCTTTTTTTATCTACTAAAGAAGAACAAACTATGTTTTCTCAAGTTTCTTGCATTATAATACCAACTTGTTTAAACTTTCAATCTGTTGCCATTTTCAGCTGAAAAAGCTCTGTATGTCTAACGAACAGATTTTTCGGTAGCATCTCTAATTTTTTTAACCAACCCGTCTCCTAACTTTTACATAAGCATCTATGGAAGTAGCTGCTGGTTAATATTCACTGAGTGCTGCTGTGTGTCTCTGCTCCAACCAGCTACTCTCTAAGCAGTGAAATGAACACAGATCAGACGTCTCAAAGCAACAGATCCGATGATGTTGGACCGAGATGCAGGACACTGGAGCAGCGGGAGAGAGGAAAAAAACACTGACTATAAACGCTCCCCCCAACCTCTGTTACCCCCGCTGGCTACCTGACTCCCTCCCCCGGTAAAAGTAGAACATGTCCAGGAAAAAGATGACGGCTGGTCAATCTACTTTAGTTACTGTTAGCAAATGCCTAAAAGCTTTACATATCCAATAACATCCTACCTGAACCGACACTCTGTCTGACCTCAAAGCCTACATATTTCAGTGATGTTCTCATTCTGTCAGAAACAAAGACTTTATCTGTTCATCATTCACACAGTAACAATGAGAGTACAGTCTATCTGGGTAATTTCTGAAAGTCGTGGGAAAGTCATATTTAAATGTCAAATAATTCTGGCTTAAACATGTATATAAATGTACTCTTTATCAGATGATATTTTTCACAATTTAGAAAATTTCTATATAAAAAAAATCATGTCCTTAAATCTGTGTTGTTTTTTTTCACTATCTTCTGCAGTCCAGTTAGTTATACCTCAGCCTGTACACCTAAATTCAGCCAATCATATATCAACGGTCATCTGTCAATCAAATTTTTTCGGTCATAGCATCTTGATTCATATGTGGCAGCTAATATACGCTATGGTTGAAATCAGAATCCTTTCCTTTCCCATTGAGTTCTGTCCCAGTGTTCACGGGGATGGACGTCTGTGTCTCCAGCAGGCGTAGAGCTAACAGAACTGGCAGCGTTGCGAGGCAAGGGCTCAAACATGTACGGCTGGAAGCCTTCTACACCAAACCAAGCTTCTGCCGCTCTGGCGTCCTCTTCCACTACATCTTCGTCCCCCATTCCTCCTTTAAATAAAGAATGTATGATGGAGGAGACCCATCCACGACCTCCGACACTAAACTCTCCTCCTCTTGCGTGTTTCCTCTGTCCATAGCGTTCCTTGACAGTGTCGTTTCTAAGACATCAATTTAGTGCTACTTGGTCCAAATTTCCCATTGGGAACCTACTAGCACTAAGTTGCTAACTGGTTAGCAAGATGCTTCCGACAAACCGGCCACAATCAAACTTTCTTGTGAACCTTCCGCCACAACAATCCCGCCCTCTTGATAATCGACCAATCACATTAACTTTATTAGGGGAACCACTCTGGAGAATTCAGAAATGCAAAAGTTTGAACAGCTGCTTCCCTACGACTTTAAATAGTGTGACTCTTGTTTAACTATATCCATCCATTTTCTTACACGCTTATCCCAGGTGGGGTCCCTAGGGGTGATGGTGCCTATCTCCAGCTGTTTAATTATTTTACAAAGTAAATATTATTTTTGCTAAACCTTATTTTATCAGCCTTATAACCATTTCACACCCAGTGGAAGCCTGAAAATATGAAAAACTTATTAAGTTTTTAAGTATTTTTTTTTAAAACATTATACAATAATCTCTGCTACAGAATAATATTACAGCTGAAGGTTTGGACTCACTTGTCCCACCTCACAGACCAAAACACTGCAGATTAGAACAGAATGATTTCAGATATGTACGGTAATCGTTATAATTAGTTGATAAATCATTAATTCAATGATATAATCAATATTAAACATTTTATCTAATATAATTTAACTCCCAGTTCCATTTATTGATCCTTTAACAGAGAAGACATAAAAATAAAAAACTCATCAACATTTCAGATCATAAACAGTAACTGCATAGTTAGTTTGCCTAGTAACTATTACTCTGTGCAGTAACTGAGTTACTAACTCTGCTCCTGTTTGGTAGCAGTAACTAACTAGTCCTATTCTAACTGGCATTACTAACACTGATTATTGCCTTAGTTACTGCAGTAGAGTTGATCTTGTAACTTGTTGAGCTTCTGTTCTTCTAAAGTCAGTCTGCTGCCATCTGCTGGATAAAGAAATAAAAAGTTCTGTAATTCTGATTGATCAGCTGGCAGTGATGGAAACATTTTGGCTCTAGGAGTTCAGATGTTCCTTGTTGTCTCTGAGTGATGGTGGAGCTGATGTGTTGCTGACTCTTCTCCTCTGCCTCCTCCAACAGGATGAAGATGATCTGCTGGATCCCGCTGCTCATCATCATCATCATCCTCAGCTCATTTCTCTGTGGTCAGTTTCCATCTTCTCTTTGTTCTAAATCCATCAGTAATCAGTGAAAAGTCTGTCAGTGAAGCTAACACTTCAATCCTCCTGCTGCATTTGATCCAGCAGTTTGACTAGAAGAGAATCAAGCAGAGCTCTGACAGCACAGAGACCATCATGAGACAGAAACCTCTAGAGATGGACTTTAAAGGCTCCCATGTTCCAGTTCTCAGTGTGTCTGCTCCTCTCTTCCTCTCTCTGTCTCTTCAGCAGCAACATTTGTAGTGAATGTGACCCAGAGCTCCTATCAGGCAGAGGAGAAGCACAACATCACTCTGGAGTGGACCTTCACCACCAGACCTCATGGATCCTGGAGTCAGCTGTTTGTTCTCTGCAGCTTGTTTACTTCTAACAGACATTCAGTCGTCTTTCATGTCCATGATGGTGTTGAGGTGCCAGAGTCTCAGGATGAACAGTTCTCAGGACGAGTCCAGAGTGACAAAGACGTCCTCAGAGAAGGACGAATCAGACTCCATGTGTCCAGACTGAGGACTGAAGACTCTGGTCTGTATGTCTGTAAGGTGGAGACTGATGGAGGCTCAGGCTATGAAAAATGTCTCCTCAACGTCTCTGGTGAGAATAAATCCTCTAAATCCATTTTTCTTTGATAAAATCCTGAGAACTGAGTTGATGAACAAACATCATCATCTTCTAGATGAAGCCTCCTGCTTTGAACGTGAACAAGTATGAATAAATATTTCTGATTTCTCTCCATCAGCTGCTGATCAGATCCAAACTCAGAGACCAACTTTGACTCCAGAACCAGAGAGACGAGGAACGATCTTCCTCTACATCCCACTGGGACTGACAGCAGCAGCTCTGATGGTTCTGATGACACCGTTGATTGTTTGGTTCAGGAGGAAAAGAAGGAAAACAACGTTGATCGTTTGGTTCTTAAAGGAAAAGAAGAAGAAAACAAAACTGTCAAGTGTCAGATTTTTCTGAATGACTGTATTTTAGTAATAAGGACGTTGATCTGTTCCTCGTTTTATTTCAGGTTGATGTTTTGAAATATTTATTTCTGTTCTCACCCAGAAGCAATGATCTTTATTGTTCTAATGCTTTAATGCTCTAACAGCTGATTGTTACTGAAGTTGAAGCGCTGTAGATGATTTAACAAAAGCTGGAATACAATGACAGCTATATTATTCCAGGTTCTGCAGCAGATAAATGCTATGGCACTTTGTTTATTTGTGCATTAATCAGTATTTTTAAAAGGTGTTATTTGTAAAAAATATTTATTCTTCCACCTTTTTGTTCCACTGTTGGTGTTAGTCATTTCACTTGGACCTGGAATTACTGTCTATAAGATATCTCAATTTCTACAGGTTTGTATGAGTACTGTTAATAAAACAACAGTGGAAACATTTCGTATAAAAAATGTTTATGTTTCCTTTATGTAATATGAATTGTCTTTAATTAATTAAAAGCATTTCATATAAACAGGAAGTTTGTATTTTCTTTGCATATGTTGTGGATTTGTTGTTTTTTTTTATCAAAGAGGACGAGGCCAACACTCAGTTAAACAGAAAAAGATGGATTTTTGTATTTGCACATTTTGAAGGCTTTTGCTCTTGGAGGACAAAAGGGTGAAATAGGATTTGCTCACAGTTTGATACATCACAGAGGAGGGGGAGACAGTAAGGTATCTCTAGCCTAAATAGCCTAATTTATGAGAATTCCTCCTTAGCTGGCCTTGATGCAGAGCTAGATTGTAAATCTCTGACTCCAGCTCCTTTAACAGAATCAGTATGGAAATATTTAAAAAGATGGTAAAGAACAGAAGTAGCAGTAGGATCAGTGGATTGTTATCACCCAATGAATCCTAATCCTAAAGTAATTATTTTCTTCCTTTGCAATGAGTCTTTTTATGTGTAATCTGAAAATAATTTTAATAGTTCTTACTGAAATGTAAACTAAAACATAATTAAAATTTCCAGTCACTCATATTAAAACAAAACCAAAAAAATCTCATATCCTTTCACTGAGTTGTAGAATCGCTCTCTATAAATATTTAATTATGTATGAATAAATGCGATCATTTCTTAATAAGATCACCATCTAAAGGACAAGCATTGTTTGTTTGGTCTAGTGAATGATTTTTTATTGTTTGCACGAAACTAGAACAAAATCTCCTGATTGAATCAGGAAATAAAACAATGTGATTGGCTGTAAGGAGAGCGGAGACAGAGGACGCTCTGAGTTTACTGAACTAAACCTGCTACCGACCAGGTTAGCTCTGAGGAGAATGTTACTATGGCAACAGATACAGAGGTTGAGGAAACTCTCTTTGTGAAAAAGAAAGGAGGACGAGATAAAGCATTCCCATGCTAGCATGCAGAGAACATCAGAAAGGGCTTTAAACAGGTAATATTTCTGCTAAATGTATTCTACAATAGTTTGTAATCTAGTTTTAATCTAATTATAGAACAACAATAAATGTTCCTGACTGCCACTCCTAATAAATGCATAGTCAGCGTTGGTATCAGATGTGAGACGCACAGAGACACCTTGGTTCAGTCTCAGAAGTGAATCCAGATCCGTGGCTCCTGGCCAGGTCATCCCAGGCTGGTATTAAGTAACGATGGGCAGTGGCATCAATATGCCTTTTTAAAGGGGGCTAAAGCCTCCATCCAATGTTCTCTAGCCCTGCTAAATAAGGTGTTTGTTTTTTTATTGAGTCTGATTTATTTGTTTCCTTTTCTTTTTTACAAATAACTTTTGGAAATCCAAACTAATGTGTTCAGAATATGATTAGGAATAAATAATCATATAGGCTGTCATAACTAACTGAACTAAGATCACATATTTGTCAGTTTCCCTTTATTTCATAGTGTCAGTTAAAGGGATCTGTCAGTGAGTTCATTCCAATTAGTGGCCTGTGTTTTCCTTTCTTGCAGCCCAGCACACAGCAGAGCTGTCTGCAGCAGCGAGAACATCCTGTCACCACCTGCCACCTTCACAAAAGCAGCACTTCCTGGACATAAGATTAGATTTAGATAACTCATAAAGCCAAAAAGTACCAGAAAGCGGAGAAATAGACTGGTCACCCTACAGTTCTAATTATGGTAGCAGTTCAGACGTCAGCACTTTGATGCATCCATTAATCCAATCACAGACCTGATTCAGATGTTTGTAACGTGAGCTTCTCATGATTGACAGTGGAGACAGTCGACCACACAAGAAAAAGCAGAGAGCTAATCAGGAGCTTGTTGGCGGTCTAAACTCAGGTTAGCGGACTTCAGCTTTAGTGGCTGTTTTCTACTTGGTAATAAAGGAACCAAGTTCTCCCTGTTTAACAGGTGGACTTTGCTCTCCAGCTTCAGTGGAGTGGAAAAAGTCCCTTTTAACAGGAAGAAACCTACAGCAGTACCAGGCTCAGTGTGAGCGGCCATCTGCCAGGCCGACTGGGGTTCAAGGAGGCAGAAGCAGAGATACAAAAGGCAACTCTAAAAGGCGGCCCCTTCCAGGAAACACACAGCAAGGTAGACAAGCTCCCAGCCAGCTGCCATGTCAGAGGATAAGAGAGCACATCACACCAGTCACAGTCAGAGAAACAGGACTACACTGCAAAACAGGCTGATCTCCAACATCTATAAACAAAGATGTTGATGGCAGCAAAACAGCTGATGTTTCTCTCCAGAATGGCATCACAGCCAAACAGGAACAGACGAGCCAATGCTACTATGAGAAAAAGCAGAGAGCATAATGTTAGAGATGCAACTAACATACTGCAGTGGGAGAATAAAGATAGAATGAAGCAGAATGGTGAAAAATGGGTCCCTATGTCCTCCAGTAGCCTAATCCTATAGCAGCATAACTATAGAGATTGCTCAGCATAACCTGAGCCACTCTAACTGTAAGCTTTATCAAAAAGGAAAGTTTTAAAAGTAGACAGGGTGTCTGCCTCACGGACTAACTGGTAGTTGGTTCCACAGGAGAGGAGCCTGATAACAAAAAGATCTGCCTCCCATTCTACTTTTAGAAATTCTAGGAACCACTAGTAAACCTGCAGATTGAGAGTGAAGTGCTCTGTTAGGAGCATAAGGAACAATCAGATCTCTGATATAAGATGGAGCTTGGCCATTTAAGGCTTTATATGTGAGAAGGAGGATTTTAAATTCTATTCTGGATTTAACAGGAAGCCAATGAAGAGAAGCCAGGATAGAAGAGATATGATCTCTATTTTTAATTTTCATCAGAACTCTGGCTGCAGCATTTTTGATCATGTGACGGCTTTTAACTACAGTTTGTAGACTTCCTGATAGTAAAGAATTACAATAGTCCAGCACTGAAACAGCTCTGGTGAAAGTCACTAACGATATTCTGATGGCCTCTGATAATGTACTTGTACTTGTCCTGTTAGATCTCAGGGCTGCATTTAATACAATTGATTATAATATTCTTTTAGAAAAACTTGAATATTTTGTAGGAATTAAAGGAACAGCACTAGACCGATTTCAGTTTGTTCATGTTAATGATAAATCTTCCTCATGCTCAAAGGTTACCTGTGGAGTACCACAGGGATCAGTGCTAGGACCAATTCTCTTTACTATATATATGATCGCAATCGATAGAATTATTAGACAGCATGAGATTAATTTCCACTGTTATGCTGCTGACACTGTTGTCCCAGCTCACCAGAAGATATGAATATATTAAAGAACTAGAACTGGAAGTTAGTTTATTAATAGGTCATTAAAATCAAGGGCACAGCAAGTTATTTATTATCAGTTGAATGATTATAACTGTAACTTGCTTACTAACCAGGGTTTTAGCCCCTTTCCTTAAAAGGTTAGACTCCTGAATCAAGCTGTTAAAATTCCAGTTGTCTTTCACCAATTTAGTAATTTAAGCTATGGCTCTTAGCAACGTTATCAACCACCAACCAAATCAATGTGTCTCTGTTCATCCGCATGCTACTGAAAGAAGAGTGAACCCAGCCTAAGTGATCAATCGTTCACTGTGTAAAATGAACACTAAAGGCCACGGGTTAAAATACAATGGTACCTTTATTAGCTACAATCACACAGTATTATATCTCATAACTAAGCAGACACTAAACAATACTGAAAATAAGCTAAATTAAAGAAATAACAGGGGAAGAGGGGTTTAAGAGTCTGTTCAAAGTCTGTGATGTTTGAAGTTTAAAGCTTAATGCATTTAATAGTGTCCTTTATAATAGCAGCAGATAAAATGTGAATAAACCCTGATGCAGAGAGGTTAACTGCAGTCAAAACAGTGAAGTTTCATTCAGTTTATGGTGAAAAATGAATAATGACTCATTAAACTATGATGACGCTGAAAGACCCGTTAGCTTAGCTGGCCCCAGGGGTTCTGGTTCTGGTCGGGTCCAACTGAAACAAAGAGAGGGTTAGTTCACAATGTAGCAGTTAGCTTCAGCAACACGTGACTCAGTCTGTAGTGAGCATTAGCATTCATTAAAACCTTTAAAACCATCAGCAGTTGAATCAGAAAGCTTATTTCTATAAAAAACACCAACACAATTATCTATTCTACCTCTAGTTCACCCAAGCAGAGCATTTATTAAGCATCAGATGCGAAGGACGGGGAAGGATGCAGTTACTGTTTTTGGTTCAGTGGACGGAAGGCCTTCAGCCCAGTCCGGTGTTCTCAGGCCCGTCTTCGGTTCAGTCCTTTGATCCAACAGCAACTCAAAGAGATTTGGATCAATCCGATGCAACAATAAGAGGCAAATTACAAGGGGATTCATTTTATAACTCACAGTACCACACAGGACGTCTCCCTTTTAGCTACGGTGGTTAGCACGTAGCCGCGGCCTCTAGTAGCGGCTTCTACTGGCTTCTTCGGCAAACAACGATCGAGGCTCCTTTGTTCGGCAGTTAGTGCTCGATTAGCTGTGCTCTGTCTTTGCTGCAGCAGGATTCAGGATACACTGCCTTCATTCGGTTTTAAGGACACGAAGAGTAAAAACACAGCATTCAGCTCCTTCTGAATCGCAGAAAAAAGGCAGTCTGACTTGGTCCAGCGAGGGGTGTGTCTTCAGAGCAGCTTACTTCTGGCAACATCAGCGAGAATAGATTGCAGCAACACTCAGCTAGATCTGTCTATTAATCCTGATGAAGCTAACCCGTTACATAGACTACAGGTATGTCTGGAGGACATAAACACCTGGATAGCTATCACCCTATACTCTGTTTATATTTCTGTTTTAGTCTGTGTTGGTTTGCAGCAACTTCAGGAAACAGAAAATGTTGCTGAGAGGCTGAGGTCGGCTGTTCCTTGTCTGACGAGCTCGTTGAAAAAAGGATCAGCTGAGATCAAAATGCTGTTAATGTGAACTTTATTAACAAAAAGGAATAAACAACATAGATTAACGTATCCAAAATATAAATTATCAAACATATATCACAGTGATTTTTATAGTAGTCAACAAAAATACAGCGCCCCATTCTCTACCAGTGACACTCCAACAGGTAATACGCCCACTAACAAAACTGCCCACATCTGGTTGACCCATTCCTCTACAAACAAACAACCAAACAAACAAATAAACACAAAACCATAACGGCTATAAACCCAGACAAACAAACATCTAAGTATCTTTTCATATATGGCTGCTACAGTTGGCCTCGTCCTCTTTGATGAAAAAAAACAATTCCACAACACATGCGAAGAAACTATAAACTTCCTGTTTATATGAATTGCTTTGATTAATTAAATCAATTAATTTTAAATATAAACATTTTGCATATAAAATTTTTCCACCTTTGTTTTATTCACATCACTCAAACAAACCAGTCCAGGTAATTACAAGCTGAGATATCTTATAGACAGTAATTAACTAAAATGACTAACAGTGAAAACAGTGGAACAAAAAAGAAAACCGAAGATTAATACACAAATAAACAAAGTGCCATTGCATTTATCAGCTGAAGAAACTTGAGTAATAAAGCAGTCATTGTATTCCACCTTGTGGTAAATGATCTAAAGCGGAGGTCTTCAACAGGGGGTGTGCGACCCTTAGGGGGTCCACAGAGGTACTGCATGGGGGACGCAAACTTTTTGGTTGATTAGACTTTTTTTTATATTCCCCCCTGTAATTTTTTCCACTAATTGAAATATCTTTAAATCCACATTAACATGAATTCAACAGACTGTAGTAAACAGATAAATGGAGGCAGAAGATGTCTTTCAGTCATCAATGCACACATTCAGAGACACACAGGAGCTCTTTCAAGCTGGGCACCGTTTCATTCACAACACCTGTCCCATCAACCAGGAATCAGAAATACTTTAATAATCCCAGGAAGAAATTACTTTAGTTACATTACTCCATCTGTAATAGAGTGACTATAGGACCAGTTTGATAGAACACTATTTAATACAATAAACAGGTAAAAGCCAGTAAATTAGAATATTTTTAAAAAACTTGATTTATTTCAGTAATTGCATTCAAAAGGTGTAACTTGTACATTATATTTATTCATTGCACACAGACTGATGCATTCAAATGTTTATTTCATTTAATTTTGATGACTTGAAGTGGCAACAAATGAAAATCCAAAATTCCATGTGTCACAAAATTAGAATATTGTGTAAGGGTTAAATTTTGAAGACACCTGGTGCCACAAACTAATCAGCTGATTAACTCAAAACACCTGCAAAGGGCTTTAAATGGTCTCTCAGTCCAGTTCTGAAGCCTACACAAACATGGGGAAGACTTCAGATTTGACAGCTGTCCAAAAGGCGACCATCGACACATTGCAGAAGGAGGGAAAGACACAAAAGGTTATTGCTGAAGAGGCTGGCTGTTCTCAGAGCTCTGTGTCCAAACACATTAATAGAGAGGCAAAGGGAAGGAAAAACCGTGGTCAGAAAAAGTGTACAAGGGATAGGGATCACAGCGCCCTAGTCAAGATTGTGAAAAAAAAACCCCATTCAAAAATGTGGGGGAGATTCACAAGGAGTGGACAGCTGCTGGAGTCAGTGCTTCAAGATCCACTACCAAGAGACGCTTGAAAGACATGGGTTTCAACTGCCGCATACCTCGTGTCAAGCCACTGTTGACCAAGAAACAGCGCGAAAAGCGTCTCACCTGGGCTAAGGAAAAAAAGAGCTGGACTGCTGCTGAGTGGTCCAAAGTCATGTTTTCTGACGAAAGCAAATTTTGCATTTCCTTTGGAAATCGAGGTCCCAGAGTCTGGAGGAAGACAGGAGAGGCACAGGATCCATGTTGCCTGAAGTCTAGTGTAAAGTTTCCACCATCAGTGATGGTTTGGGGTGCCATGTCATCTGCTGGTGTCCGTCCACTCTGTTTCCTGAGATCCAGGGTCAACGCAGCCGTCTACCAGCAAGTTTTAGAGCACTTCATGCTTCCTGCTGCTGACCTGCTCTATGGAGATGGAGATTTCAGGTTCCAACAGGACTTGGCGCCTGCACACAGCGCAAAATCTACCCGTGCCTGGTTTACGGACCATGGTATTTCTGTTCTAAATTGGCCAGCCAACTCCCCTGACCTTAGCCCCATAGAAAATCTGTGGGGTATTGTGAAGAAGAAGATGCAGAATGCCAGACCCAAAAATGCAGAAGAGTTGAAGGCCACTATCAGAGCAACCTGGGCTCTCATAACACCTGAGCAGTGCCAGAAACTCATCGACTCCATGCCACGCCGCATTAATGCAGCAATTGAGGCAAAAGGAGCTCCAACCAAGTATTGAGTATTGTACATGCTCATATTTTTCATTTTCATACTTTTCAGTTGGCCAACATTTCTAAAAAATCCCTTTTTTGTATTAGCCTTAAGTAATATTCTAATATTGTGACACACAGAATTTTGGATTTTCATTTGTTACCACTTCAAATCATCAACATTAAATGAAATAAACATTTGAATGCATCATTCTGTGTGCAATGAATAAATATAATGTACAAGTTACACCTTTTGAATGCAATTACTGAAATAAATCAAGTTTTTCTAAATATTCTAATTTACTGGCTTTTACCTGAATATAATTAGGGGGTCCCCGCTCCATCTCGCCATCAGTTTGGGGGTCCTTGGCCTGGAAAACGTGGAAGACCCCTGATCTAGAGGGTTTCAACCTCGGTAACAATCAGCTGTTCCAGCATTAAAGCATTAGAGCAATAAAGATCGTTGCTTCTAGATGAGGACAGAAATAAATATAAATATAAAATAAATATAAAAAAAAAATCTCGCTTTTTTTAGTCATCTTGGACGATTACAATTTTGATCGATTCTAATTGAAGTATTAAAAACTATATGCATCTATTTAAAAATTGGTTTACTTTATTAAAAATATATTGAGCAAAGTAACAAATATTTAGCCAATAATAAACATTAAAAATATATAAACTTAAATATTCATAACAAAAATCTTGTGCAAGTAACACAAATATTCACCCAGCAATAATTGTACTGATTTTTTATCAGTAAAAAATGCAATCTATATATTTAGTAAAAATGCACGAAAAAAAGATAATTTCCTAAAATATGCAATTTATCAAACAGTCAATAACTTGTATTTATCTTCTGGGAAGTAGGTGGTCTGTAAGCAGCAGCTGCTGAGAGCCCAGTTCACATCATTATAATTAACTCATGAACAGCTGGAGAGATCGACGGGACCAAAGGTCTGAAACAGTTGCAAACAACAAAGGGTCCAACTTTTCTCTGAGCGCTTGTCGTGTTTTGTTCTACAGTTTAAGTAGCGCAATCTCTGCTAAGTATTTGCGACTCTGCGGGTCATATTTTGAAACACACACTTGTTGCATGAGAAGGAAGCCAGGCTCCTCTACGTTGTAAATGGGCACCATGTCCATCCCTATATGAACAGCTACAGCGTCAGTCATCTGTTTCCACCGCACACTTGTCGTATGGCAGCACTTTAGAAAATGAGACGGCCAGGGTTTGTTGTCTTTTCTTGTCGTGTTTGTCTTTGCCCGTGCAATCGACGCTGCACTCCCAAAGCTGTGAGCACTGCTCCCATTCTGTGAGGTGCCTTTGCCAGAGAGGCTGAAACAACTTAGCTGTGCTGCTAGTCTTGGTTTTCATAGTATTTCGACAAACCTTGCACACTACTGTAGTCTGCTCTGTCTCTGCCTTGTTGAACCACTTCCATATATTTGATGAAACACGAGTCCTTTTTCTCGGTACCAACTCTTCAGATAGAGCAGTGGCCATGGCCTGAGTAAACAGTGCAGCTATCAGGGGGAAGGAAGAAAGAGGCAGCGGAAGCAAATGTGCAAGTAAAAAATGCTGAAGAAAAGGCAAAATTTCTAAGTATGGACTACATGACTTAATCAAATTAATTCAATTTATCTCCAAGCCCTACTGAGAACTGGAATATGGGAGCCTTTAAAGTCCATCTCTAGAGGTTTCTGTCTCATGATGGTCTCTGTGCTGTCAGAGCTCTGCTTGATTCTCTTCTAGTCAAACTGCTGGATCAAATGCAGCAGGAGGATTGAAGTGTTAGCTTCACTGACAGACTTTTCACTGATTACTGATGGATTTAGAACAAAGAGAAGATGGAAACTGACCACAGAGACATGAGCTGAGGATGATGATGATGAGCGGCGGGATCCAGCAGATCATCTTCATCCTGTTGGAGGAGGCCGAGGAGAAGAGTCAGCAACACATCAGCTCCACCATCACTCAGAGACAACAAGGAACATCTGAACTCCTAGAGCAAAAAGGTTTCCATCACTGCCAGCTGATCAATCAGAATTACAGAACTTTTTATTTCTTTATCCAGCAGATGGCAGCAGACTGACTTTAGAAGAACAGAAGCTCAACAAGTTACAAGATCAACTCTACTGCAATAACTAAGGCAATAATCAGGGTTAGTAATGCTAGTTAGAATAGGACTAGTTAGTTACTGCTACCAAACAGGAGCAGAGTTAGTAACTCAGTTACTGCACAGAGTAATAGTTACTAGGCAAACTAACTATGCAGTTACTATTTATGATCTGAAATGTTGATCAGTTTTGAATTTTCTTGATCTTTCCTGTTAAAAGATCATTAAATACAACTGGGAGTTAAATTATATGAGATAAAATGTTGATAAAATTTTTAATATTGATTATTTCATTGAATTCATGATTTATCAACTAATTAAAAGGACTACATCTAAAAACATTCTGCTCTAATCTGCAGCGTTTTGGTCTGTGAGGCGGGACAAGTGAGTCCAAACCTTCAGCTGTAATATTATTCTGTAGCAGAGATTATTGTTTAATGTTTAAAAGAAAATAAATGCTTTAGAACTTAATAGGTTTTTCATATTTTCAGGCTTCCACTGGGTGTGAAATGATTATAAGGCTGATAAAAATAACTTTTTTTAAGGGTTTAGCAAAAATAATATTTACTTTCAAATATAGTTAAAAAAGAGTTGCACTATTTCAGAAATAATAACCCAGCTAGACTGAACTCTCAGACTTACTGCGTGAATAATAAACAGATTGGAACATGCAGGCGCTGCCTTCAGGGCGAGACTTTCGGTTCAGGGGCGATGAGATAGGATATGTACTGCTCTCAGGCGTTACCCTGTGTTGGTGTCCTGTTTCTATCTTAGATTTTTCTTAGGTCTCAACTAAAATATGGCAAGCCATTTTGACATTTATTAGAAGCACTGTTCTCTTTATTGTTCCATTTGTTGTCACTAAAATAAGACCCTTCCTGGTCAAAACTACATTCCTACAAGCCAGAAAGGTACATATAGATATCCTAAATTACATTTTTTCAGCAGAAATCAATTATCAGGTTGCAAAAAATATAACTGTACTAGTAAGAATAAACTTTCAGATACCTAGAAATCTTTACAAATTTTAAGTGGCCCTTTTGACATTTATTAACTTGACTAAATATATATTCCAGATGTTTCAAATGCATTTTTCTTCCTATCTAATATAAACATTTCAGATACAAATGAGTCATGATTCCCATTCATGTGTATTGGGCTATTGCTTCCAGATATCTAAAATAACATTCTGGGGGTGGGGGGAGCCGACCGTGGTGAGGCCCATGAAATAAGCCCCACCCCAGACAATGTTGTTGTGTTGTGAAAATGTTGTAGATGAAGGTGTCTAAAATGCAAAATAAAATTGGGGTGGGGGACGTCATCAGAAGGTGGGGCCCTCCAGTAACAACCCCCTCCCCAAAAACCTACATGTGTGTCAGTGTGATGGAGCAGGCAGAGGGAGGATTCCGGGGATGGGGAGCAAAGGACTGGGATGCTTACTGCACTCCCAGGGAGCCAGCTCCCCCCCTGACTCCAATAGGCCCTCTCTGTTCCCCGAGAGCCCCACCGGAGAGGGGGGCCCCACCAGTTGCACCACCATAGCCCGGGGACCAGGAACCGATGGCAGGGCCCACAAGCCAGCCAGCCACAGGGCAGACACCGCCCCACATCCTGTTCATCCAAAAAGAAAAAAGAAAAAAAAGGGGGAGACAACTCTGGCTGGCCAGCCCGCACGCACCAGAACCCCCACCCCGGACGAAGCCCCCACCGGCACGGACCAGGACCGAGACGGAGCAATTCTTGATTTTAAGGATTTACTTGAAAACTTAACGCAACTTTACAGGAAACATAAAATCATCCACTAAATTAAGTCTTTTAAAGTCCAACAGATCCTGGGAAGGGTGAGGTAAAAAAAACTATTGAGCTCCAGTCTCCCTCTGATTCCGGCTGCACTCGCTCCCCTGGCATGAAGATAAACCACACCCCTTCGTAAGTTTTTAAATGTCACAATAAAAGTCATATCTTACTCATGATATCAGTGAACTGTACATATGCAAGTAGCATTTTTCAATCCTTTTAAATCGCTTGAATCATTAAATCAAAATAATATTTATCTTACTTATGAATTTTCATATTTTTAAATAAAATAAAAATAAATATTCTAACTCAAATAAACTGCATTTAGGCTTTACACGTGTCCTCAGAGGAGTTTAAAGTCCAGGTTCTGAATCCCCTCTGAACATCTCGGTCGTGTTTGCAGATAATCTCAATAACTGCTTTAAATTAAGTTTCCATCGTTGTTTCTGAGTCTGAAACTGTTTCTCTAGATGTTTGTCAAAACAAAGACAATCAGTTTCTATTCTAAATTCAATAAATCATCTCTTGTATTCACTGTAGCTCAGACTTTTACCATTATAACAGGTAACAGTTTGTTAATAATTGAACTTTACTGATCTCACATTGCAGAAGTTTACCTCTGCATTAACCCACTGCCTTGGAGAGCAGTGGGCTGCCATTGTGGAGCGCCTGGGGAGCAATGTGGGGCTAATGCTACGTTCACACCAACCGCAACAAGAGCAGCAGAAATGCTGCTTCATTTCTGATGCTTTTACAAGTTTAATTCTAGCTGCGCGGCGGAAAAGTGAGAGACAGCAAGCTCAATTCGTGGCAGTGGCTGTGTTGCAGCAGTTCCGGTGGCAGTTCTGGTGGCAGTTCTGGTGGCTCGATGGCTCGCTGTGGCTCGTTGCAGCAGTTCCAGTGGCTCGTCGTTATTTTACTGGCAGGAGCCACTAAATTATTTTTTCATGTAGTTTTTTAATCCCTTTTTTTTGGTATTATTCTTGCCTTATTTATAGTACTTCTAAATCGATTGTTTTTTCCTTAATATTGTGATGTGATTGCTTAATAAACTGCATTAAAACTTTTATAATGTCACATTTAATGGATGGAACGGAGTAGTTTGTCTGCCAATAAGTGGCCTCGGCCGGCAGCAGGCACCATCAGCCACTACGGGGGCAGCATCTGCCGGCAGCGGCCACCACCGGCCACTACACAGTCACTCCATCGGCGACTACGCAACCACTCCGGCAATATTTGGAGGTGTGTTTAGGGTCATTGTCCTGTTGTAGGATGAAATTGGCTCCAATCAAGCGCTGTCCACTGGGTATGGCATGGCGTTGCAAAATGGAGTGATAGCGTTCCTTATTCAGAATCCCTTTTACCCTGTACAAATCTCCCACCTTACCAGCACCAAAGCAACCCCAGACCATCACATTACCTCCACCATGCTTAACAGATGGCGTCAGGCATTCTTCCAGCATCTTTTCATTTGTTCTGCATCTCACAAACGTTCTTCTTTGTGATCCAAACACCTCAAACTTGGATTCATCCGTCCACAACACTTTTTTCCTGTCTTCCTCTGTCCAATTTCTGTGTTCTTTTGCCCATCTTAATCTTTTTCTTTTATTGGCCAGTCTCAGATATGGCTTTTTCTTTGCCACTCTGCCCTGAAGCCCAGAATCCCGCAGTCCGCCTCTTCACTGTAGATGTTGACATTGGTGTTTTGCGGGTACTATTTAATGAAGATGCCAGTTGGGGACCTGTGAGGCATCTGTTTCTCAAACTAGAGACTGTAATTTATTTATCTTCTTGCTCAGTTGTTCAACGTGGCCTCCCACTTCTTTTTCTATTCTGGTTAGAGCCTGTTTGGGCTGTCCTCTGAAGGGAGAAGTACACACCGTTGTAGGAAATCTTCAATTTCTTAGCAATTTCTCGTATAGAATAGACTTAATTTCTAAGAACAAGAATAGACTGTGGAGTTTCAGATGAAAGTTCTCTTTTTCTGGCCATTTTGAGCGTTTAATTGACCCCACAAATGTGATGCTCCAGAAACTCAATCTGCTCAAAGGAAGGTCCGTTTTGTAGCTTTTGTAACGAGCTAAACTGTTGTCAGATGTTGCACAAGGGTTAATATATATACATATATATATATATATATATATATACATATATACATATATACATATATATACATATATATACATATATATATATATATATATATATATATATATATATATATATATATATATATATATATATATATATATATATATATATATACATATATACATATATATACATATATATACACACATATACATATATATACACACATATACATATATATACACACATATATATATATATATATATATATATATATACACTCCCATCCTAGAGGCTGCAGAGTGCAGGTACCACTGGCCACTTAAGCAATAACATCACAATATTTAAACAACAATCTACTTAGAGGTACTATAAATAAGTCATTTGGTGGCTATGGTCACTATGGTCGCAGCGGCCACTATGGTCTCAGTCTCTGCTGGCAGCGGCCACTACACTGACACTGTGATGGCACCATAGTGGCAGCGCTGCCCCCGGAGTGGCTGCGTATTGGCCGATGGTCAGAGATGGGAAGTAACGAAGTACAAATACTTCGTTACTGTACTCAAGTAGATTTTTCTGATATTTTTACTTTACTACTTATTTTTATGGCGACTTTTTACTTCTACTCCTTACATTTTTACACAAATATCTGTACTTTCTACTCCTTACATTTTAAAAAATTGGCTCGTTACTTTAGTTTTGAATCATTTCAGTTGAGTTACCGTTATTATTTTTCACGTCATCAATACCAAATTCAATCTAATTGGATGGGAATCTACGTTGCATTTGACGCACCACTACAAGATGAATCGACAGATTCGGCGGTATTCATTTGCGGCAAATCATTGCAGCTTGGTGGCGGTGGCGTTAGCATAGTAGCATGGACGACGAGATGATTGAAAATGAACACAACGGAGATCTAGTCCTATTGGCAGACATCCATTTAAAATGTAGGCAACGGCATGAAAAAAGTGGTTTCTACTTTTAATTTTATACTTTAAGTGAATTTACAAGCCTGTACTTTGTTACTTTTACTTGAGTAAAGAAGTTTAATCAGTACTTCCACTTTTACCAGAGTATTTTTTAACACAAGTATCTGTACTTTTACTCAAGTACGGAAAGTGAGTACTTTTGCCATCTCTGCCGATGGTGCCCGCTGCCGGCAGTTCTGCCCCCGGAGTAGCTGATGGTGGCCGCTGCCGGCAGATGCTGCCCCCGGAGTGGCTGGTGGTGCCCGTTGCTGGCCGAGGCCACTTATTGGCAGACAAACTACTCCGTTCCATCAAATAAATGTGACATTATAAAAGTTTTAATGCAGTTTATTAGCAATAACATCACAATATTAAGAAAAAAAAACTATCTAGTTAGAAGTACTATAAATAAGGCATTTGCCGAAAAACGGCAAGAAAGATACCAAAAAAGTTATTAAAAAACTACATGAAAAAACAATTTAGTGGCTGCTGCCAGTTATACGCCGTGCCATTTGCCGACGAGCCACCGGAACTGCTGCAACAAGCCACAACGAGCCAACGAGCCACCGGAACTGCCAACGGAACTGCTGCAATGCAGCCAATGCCACAAATTGAGCTCGGCCCTGCTGGAAAAAAATGGGTCTGACACGC